CGGCAGCGGGAGAGGGGCGCTAACTATTCTTAGTAACAAATTACTCACAGCCGCAGCAGCGGCAGCTGCCAGGCGCCCACCGCGCTCGCTCGACTGGGCCCCGCAAACGTGAAGGCAGCGACAACCCTGTCAGGTAGACGCTCTTGTTACCCCATCGTTCAGACGAGGAGACTGAGGAGCGCAGAGGTGAAGTCACCTGCCCAAGGTCACACAGTTGATAAGCCTAGATTTAAACCCAGGTCAGACCGACTCTGAAGCAGGTGCTCTTAACTGTGGGGCTTGCACAGGGGCAGCCCGGATTGGAACACGCTCTTCTTGGATCTCATTCCCCTTTGCTTGTGTTTCTGTCCTGGCATATCCTACCTGTCTTAGTACTTCCATTCCATTCTTGGCTCCCAGCACCCAACTTACCACCCCCCCACCGGGAGCTTCGCTCTCTGAGGCTTACATCAGAGTGTCATTTCCCTGCTCCAAGGGTTTCCCATCACTTTCGATGCAGTTCTAATCGAAGCCCGCTGGGGTCAGCAAGGCCCCTGCAGAGCCCACTCTCCTGTTCGCTTCCCTCTTGCTTGCTCACTGTGCCCAGTCTTTCTGCTCTTCCCCCTCCAGCCGACTTCCTGCCTGGGGTCTTCCTGTCCCCCCTTCCTCAAGCATGGTCATAGTAGGCTTCTTCCTCTGCTCATCCCAAGCAGGCCTTTCCTGATCACCCTGTGCAAAGCCCAGCCAGCCTGAACTCTTCATGGGGCCACCAGTCCTGAAGTTACCTTCTTTCACCTGTTGATTGTTCACCTGTTGCCTGTCCATCTCCCCCTTCAGAATGTGAACACTAGGAGAGCAGGGAGGCTGTATGTTTGCTTGGGTATCCCCAGTGCCTGGCATGTTGCAGATGGTCAATAAATATTGATTGAACAAATGAATAAACAATAGTATAAGACACACATTTTAAAACCTCAGGACATGCACTGGAACGTGCCCATTTCCAGCATGAGCCAGAGATGCTGGCATTAGAAGCCTGGATCCCTGTTCAATGAGTTCAGGAGAGATCTCTGTGGCTGGTGACACATGGAGGCCACGGCTCTCCCCACGGGCTCTCTGCCCTCCCCACTCCCTCCCTTGCTCAGTAGCCCTGTAGTCCACTTCACCTGGATGCCTCTCCTCTTAGCCTTCCATGCCAGCTTCCATGCCAGCTCCTCTGGGAGTCCCTCCTGCTCCCCGGAATATCTTATGTTCATTTTATAAGTCCTTAAGTCCCTGTGTAGTTCTCCTTCACAGCATCATGTGAACTGGGTAATTGTGCAATCTCTTGTTGAGTGTCTGTCTCTCCAGTGGGCCCTGTGGCGCTCTCATCCACAGCACCGTCCCCAGCATCTGCCCCAGCAGCACCGGGTGCACGCACAGTAGCTCCTGCAGGAGCTTCGAGGAGGAGTGGTGGCGATCTTCCACGAGTTCCGTTGTGTACACTCGCCCTTTCAAGTTTCGAATCAGCCGTCACCAACTTGGCACTGAATGAGCTTTGTGCTTTTCTGATAAGTGGCATCATTATCTGGCCTCTCATGAACTCAAGCACTTCAGGCACCACATGCCTGGTTGCGTCTCTGTGTCTTAGGAAGGCAGAACTTGGATCATCTTTTTTAAAAAATTGAGACATAACATGCATAGTATTGAAGTGTACAATTCCACAGTTCTTAGTGTAGCCAGAGCTGTGCAGCCATCACCGCTAATTCCGGACATTTTCATCACCGCAGAAAGAAACTCTGGACCCATCAGCCATCTCTCATTTCCCCAACCCCTGTCCACGCTGCATGTCTCGTATAAGTGGAATCATACGATGCGTGCCCAGCTTCTTCCACCAAGCACATCTCAGGGCTCATCCGTGCAGTCGCAGGTGTCTGCACGTCTTTCCTTTTTATGGCTATATTCTCAGATCGTGCACCACCAAGTCTGCCCGAGACACAGGTGTTGGGGAGGTGTTGGGGAGGGGGCAGAGAGGAGGGGGAATATAATCTCAGTTGGGCTCTTTCATCTAAGGAGGTCAACTGAATACTCCGTATGTAAAAGTATTTTGGATTTAAAAATTGACTAGTGATCATCTGCTGGGGCCAGCTGATGACATAGCAATTACATCACCAAACTCCCACATGGCTGACCATGGTTCAAGTCCCAGACCTGGTGGCTTGAAAACACATTGGGTCTGTGTGCATGAGTGCCCAAGATCCCGAGAGGAGAATGAAAGAGAAGGGATTGTGGCATGGCCATCCCCCTGGGGGAGGGGGGGAGTGATTTCTCACTTTCCCTCTTGCTGTCTCTGTCTCTCTCCAAAGAGTGCACATGCCCTAAGGCAAAAACCTCTACAATAAATAAATAAATAAAAATAAAGCTGCACTGAAGGAAAGTTCTGGAACTTCTTGCACAAATCGGATGCTTCAGCACTGGGACCCTGGCTCTTTAAACCATGGCTGGCTGCACCGCTGTGGACAGGGATCTGGGCCCTGGGTCTTCAGTGGTAGCATCTGGCCTTTGTGCTCTCCAGGTTTACAGGAAGCAGCTACTGGGATCCAAAGGTCTCTCTCCTCCCGTCTTTATTTATTTTGGAATAAATTGCCCAGGTCTGACTCCTGGGCAGAGCTGGTGCCCTCCTCCCACCTGGACTTGCCAGGTTGCTGGTGGGCGCTGCTCAGCTGGAAGACACGGTGGGGGCCCACTGCCTGCCCTGCCAGATGGCACTTCCCAAGGACCCTGGGTGGCTCCACACCTTCACTCTCACTTTACTGGGTGGTCACTCTCCAGCCATTGCAGGACATCTCCCCTCCCTCTTGGGGAGACTCTCACCTGGCCAATCGCAGTGTGGTAAGAAAGTAGCCGTATAGGGTGGTCTGGGGCAGAGAAAGCTTTGCCCAACCCTCTCCCTGGGCTGCTGGTTTACCCCCAGTCTGCCACCCCAGGGATGCCAAGTGGGCTTCCGCCTGCCCAGGGCACTAAGCACCAAGTCGCCATTCTCCCATCCCAACGCCTGGCCTTCCTGCCCTGCCTTCTCCCCAACATCCCCTGCAGAGATGACCTCTCCCTTCCCTTCCAGGTGGCGGTGGGCCCGGTGATCAGCATAGAGGCTCTGGGGTCAGACAGGCCTGGGAAGGTAGGTAGGATCTAGACTCTGTCCTCAGGTGACTCAAAACTCACCACGGTCTCCCGAAATGTGCGGCACTGGGGAGTGGCAGCGAGGGTGATCGATTGTTCTAGAAAGACAGCCAGTTGTGTGTGATCCCCATCTCTCTGCAGGTGGATGGCTGGCAGTTCAAGGCTGCACTCCTGGCATGGCCTCTGTGCCCAGCAGTCCACCTTCCCCTCCTCTCCGGTGCCTTTGCCCACTCTCAAGGCGGCTTCCTTGCCTTTCTTCAGTCCTCTCACCTCCCCCTCCATCCACACTCTCAGCTTTTATTCTTGCCTCCTACTTCCTAGAGCAGAGAGAACAGCCGGAAAGAGCTTCCTTTCATGGGCACCACTGCCACGGCTGCCCACCTGCCTGCACGGGGCCCACGAGCACCTCCCAGCTGTTCTTGCAGATGGATGTCGGCACTCCAGGCCAGGGCCAGCCTGTACCCCCTGCTCGGTGACACTGCCCCCCAGCCCCCCACCACATAGTCTGCTCTTCTTCCTTTCTGCCTCACTCACTTTTATATAATATATTGTAATTCAGGACTTGGGGAAAAACCTCACCTCTCAGTCCCCTCCAGCTGCTGCTCCCTACAGCAGAACTCTGTGAGACGCCGGTCCTGACGGGGTGTCCTTTCCTCCCTCCTGTCCCCTCTTGTGCCCACCACCGTCAGCCTGTGCCTATGTCTCTCCTGGGTTTGTGACCTAGCCTGCTCTGGCCGAGGTCCCGTGTTGACCCCAGGGGCACCCCATGTCAGTCCTCAGCCTCGTCTCACCTGGCCCCACAGCCCAGGCCCCGTTCTCTGGCCCCACTTCGCTGCTGCCCATGCCACTCTCTCCTCTGGCCCTCCTCCTTGCTGGGCAGCTCTTGTTCTTCTCTGTCTACACTGCTCCCCTGTGGGCTCACCCATCGCTGGGCTGGAATATCGCCTCTCTGCCGAAGATTCCCACATTCTGTCCCAGAGCTCCCCGTGCACTCCGGGTCTCAGACTCCGACTTCCTGCTCGGGAGCTCCTCGATGTCCCCGGCCACCACAAGCCTCACGGCCCAAAGCCGGGCTCCTGATTCACCCACTTGTCTCCGGCTGGTCCCCCAGAAGCTGATCTTGAGACCATCGTATGGAGCTGGTGGAGGGGAGGGGCATCCCAGACTGGAGGGAGAGCGGGAAGATGGAGAAGGTCCGCTAACCCGTAGTACATTACCTCTGGGGAACTGAGGTACAGCTGTCCTGGGGACTTCGGGAGCCCATGCAGAGCAGGTGTTCCGGGGCTCCCCCACTGGAGGCAGAGGGCTGCATCCTCGGAGGAGGGCTGCTCCAGGGTATTCATCTGGGACTTCCGGCCTGGCCTACTTCAGGCAGAGCTGGAGAGAGCCCTGGCAGAACTGCAGGCACCGATCGGGGGCTCCTGCCCCTGCTCAGACAAGGGCAGGGGAGCAATGGTGTCTGCTGCCCTGAAGTCAAAGCAAAAGTCTGGACGACAGCCCCCTCGGCCCTCGCCCTTCTAGTAGCTGGCAGCTCCATCCGTCCTTGTAGCTGCCCAGGCCCGAAGCTCCAGAGTGACCCCAACAGCTCCGTGCCGCACAGAGACTGTCAGCAAGTCCCATTGGCTCCACCCTCAAAGCTCGTTCAGGACCCAACTTGTCACCTGCCTGCCTTGGCCTGAGCCTCCATCACCTCTCGGAGTCCTCACCGGTCACCCGTGCCCCTGCTGCCACCCTGCCCTCCCTCCCTCTGTTCATCTCAGCACAGCTGCTAAAACAATTTGTTTAAACCCAGTCATAACCCGTCTCTGTTTTGCTCAAGACCCATCAGTGGCCCCCACCTCAGCGGGGTCCAAGCAGAAGTCTGAATGACAGCCCAGAAGGCCCTCCATGACCGGCCCCAGCCTTGGGCGTCCACCCTGTGCCACTTCCCCTCTAGCAGTCCTCTGGCCACAGTGGCTTCTGGTGTCCCAGCGCTCCCGCCTCCACCTTCGCACCTGCTCTTCCTGTAGCCGCGAGTGCTCTTTCTCCAGCACCTGCACGGCCAGTCCCTCTCTTCTTGCCAGCCTCCGCTCACAGGCCACCTCCAGGGATGTCCCCACCCTGTCCCCAGCACCCCCGCACTCTTACGCTGCACTGTGTTCCTCGATCATTCAACATCCTATTTATTTATTTAGCTGCTACAGGGCATATGCGCTCACTGGAGAGAGAGCACCCCAGCGGGGCCTGGTCACACGTCGGTCCCTTCTCCCCTCCTCCATCCTGTTGAGACCTGGGGCGTTCACATGCACCTGATGTGTTTTCTCAGCTGCCAGGGCCGGGATTTGAACTGCGGTCAGCCATGTGGGATTCCGCTCCCTTACCTGGGCTAAGGGAGAGCCCTGAGTGTGTCTTTGTTTATTCTCCATCTCTTCCTGGAGAACGTGAGTCCCGAGACCCAGAAGACTCTGGTTGCGGTTTTGTAGTGGCCCATTTCGATTGCCACGAGCCTGACTGCAGTAAGGCCCTCCTGGAGACAGGAAGGCACAGGCACCTTGAAACACGCCTCGAAGTGACACCAGACAGGCTTGTTTACAATCTGGAGATCCCAGACTCTCCCGACCAAGCTCCCAGTGAGGACTTCGGGGTCCCTGGCAGCGGCTGTGCAGATACAGGCAGGGGTCCCCTCCTCTCCAGCCCAGCTGCCCACCCGTTACGTGGCCACCGTAGGGCAGCCAGGCCATGTGGGGGCTTGGCACGGGGCAGTGTGTGAGTGTGTGAAGGTGACCCCACACGGCACTACCAGCCTAGGCCCCTTGGTGGCCCCAGGCCTCAGTGCCAGGGAGACAGAGGGGGTAACACGCTCTCCCTGCAAGGAGGCCTTCAGAGTCAGTCAGACCCGGTCCGCCTCCTTCGCGTCTGCTGCTGGCGGCCCTGAGCTGGTGCCCACTCCCCAGCCTCAGTCCTCCCCCCTGGGAGTGGGCGAGGGGAGGGGGGACATGCGGTGGTGGTTGCTGCTGACTGAACTTCCCGTCTCTCCCAGTTTCCTTCTAGGACACCTCCCCTACTTCTGGAAAAAGGACGAGGTTTGTGGGCGCGTGCTCCAAGATGTGTTTTTGGATTGGTGGGTTCTAACTTGTCACTTGTTGTCCTTACTCCAGGTTCCCGGGCAGCTCCCCGCACCCGACCAGAACACTCCCAGCCCCCTCCCCGCTAGCATGTCCCCCGAATTCCAGGCCACTCTGGCCCCCAACGGGTCCTCCCCTGCCACTTGCCCACCACGGGACCGTGGACCGGCAATCCGAAGTCTCTGAGCCTGGTTCCTCCTCTGTAAGGTGGATGGGGATGTGACTGAGTGACGCCATTATTGGCAGTGAGACTTGGCACTTTTCAGAGCACTTTTAAGCCATGATATCACCTGAGTCCAGGCACCTCTCAGGGCAGGTGGAGGAGGGACACTGCAGCCCTGTTTCACGGCTGTGGACGCTGAGGCTGCGGGGGGCGGGACTTGGCAGCGAGTCAGCCTCAGGGCAGGGCAGCGCCCGGCTTCCTGGCCTCGCCCTGGCCCCCGGCCATGCAGGCTCTTCTTGGGGCCTGTGATGGGCACCTCCGGGGGTCGAGTGGGGGTGCACTGTTTCTCCTGCGGGTTTGGGGCTGAAGTTCCTGCCTCGGGGGTCAATGGCCTCCTTCAAGTCACTCTGATTTACAGGGCTAAGAAGTACGGTCCAGTCGTGCGGGTCAACGTCTTCCACAAAACCTCGGTCATCATCACAAGCCCCGAGTCCGTCAAGGTAGGAAGCAGAGCGGCTTCCACAGGAGGTCCCTCTTCCCCAGGGCTGAGAGAGTGACACTCGGCCCCTGAATCAGGAGGAATGCTCCAGAGCCAGGTCCTTTGGGAACGACCCTCCCCTCTCACCTCCCAAGGTCTGGGGTCTTCCAAGCATTGCTGTCTGGTGTGGGCCATGGCTGGAGACGGCTGTCCCCTTCTGGGTTGGGAGTCCTGCCTGGCGAGTGCATGTGCACTTACTGTAGGCCACCTCCTTGCCGCAGTTCCTTAATTCGTGAGATGGGGACGCTGACCCTATCTGCTGGGGCTGTGATAGAAATAGTCACAGACCAGGTTATTGTCAAGTACGGAGTGCAGAGACAGGTCCTCAGTGCCGCTGCGAGCTGCCGCACTCCTGTGCACTGTCAGCTGCTCACGGGCTCAGGTCCCTTCTTAGTCCCCACTTTAGAGAGGAGGAAGCGGAGGCAGGTGGTGTTAACCAAGATGCCTGCCATGAGGCTCAAGGAATGTGCATCGGACCTTCTGCTTCGGAGGTGGCAGAGCTAGGCTCACACCTAGACTCCGTGGCCACCCGATGTGGGACCTCGGGGGAGTTCCTCCCTCTGGACCTCAGTTTCTGCATCTGTAGACTGGGAATGTTACTGGTCTCAGGGTGTTATAAGAATGAAGTTGTGGGCATGGTGGTTAAGGCTCTGGACCCCACATGGCCAGCTGTGGGTTCAAGTCCTAGACCCAGTGACTTGACAGACACGCCGAGCACTTGTGTGTGCGTGCCTGAAATCTCAAGAGGAGAAAGGACTGCAGTGTAGCCATCCCCCAGGGGTGATCTCTCACTTTGTCCCTTTCTTTGTCTCTCTGGTGAGTGTACTTGCCCTATGACAAAAATATAAAACAGCAACAATAATAACAGCAGAAAATGGAATTGAAACCATGTGCGTGAGCTACCTAGCCTCTGCCTGGCACATGGCATTGCCAGCGAGTAATGGTGCTGCTTAGGGCCGGCAGATGGTGCAGTGGTTACGTCACTGGACTCCCACATGGGCAGTCACGGTTCGAGTCCCGGTTCCAGTGACTTGAAACTCATGCTGGGTGCATGTGTGTGTGCCCAAGATCTCAGGAGGAGAATGGAGGGGAAGGGATTGCAGCGTGGCCATCCTCCCTGGGGGGTGATTTCTTACCTTACCTCTCACTGTCTCTGACTGTCTCTCTATCTCTCGCTCTCTTTCCCCAGCAAGCACATGTACCCTAAGGCAAAAGTTTCTACAAAAGAAAAAGAATGGTGCTGCTATTTTCACAGTGGGTGCCCAGAGGGGATGTGGGCATTTGATGCCTGTGGGACACTGAGAGGGTCCAGACAGGTGACAGTCTGAATAACCACAGAAAATCATTTTTCAAAAAAAGTTTAATTTCAGGGACCAGCAGATGGCAAAATGGTTACATTGCTGGACTGCCATGTAGTCGACTGATGGAGAAGCAGAGACAGAGGAACAGAAAGCGAGGCCACGCCACAATCCCTTCTCCATTCTTCTCTTGGAATCTTGAGCACACACACACATGCGCCCTATCTGTTTCTAAGTTGCCCGGCCCGGGACTCGAACTGTGGTCCTGATAGGATGGAGAAATGGAGGAAAAGGACTGTGGCATGACCACGCCCATGAGGTGCCTCCTCCATCTCCCTCCCTCCCCTCGTTCTCTGGAGAGCACCTGTGCCTTGCAGTGTACACACACACAAGTTTGGTTTTAAAATACTTAGTTTTGTTCATGATAGAGTGCATTTGCATACACAGGGGAGAGGGCACCCTTTGCGGGCTAGGTCCCTCTGTAGTCACCGCCCAGCCCTCCGGCCCACCGGGATGCCCAGGACATGCTGTGCACGGTGGTGTCTTCAGTCTGTGCTGGCTGGGGACCCCACCATGCTTAGCACGTGGCTTCCAGCACCATGGTCTGGTCCAGTGGGATCTGGGCCAGTTTGAAATGTTAAATTGTGATTTTATATACATGTATATACATACACACATACATACATATATACACATACGTGTGTGTGTCTGTGTGTGTATCATAAAATTTACTGCTTTAGGGCCAGCCAGTGGCATGGTGGTTAAGGGGGCTAGATCCTACATGGTCGGCCTCATGGTTCAAATCCCAGACCTAGCTGCTTGAAAAACATGCTGGGCACTGTGTGTATGCCCAAAATTTTAAGAGGAGAGTGGAGAAGAAAGGATTGCAGAGGCCAGCAGGTGGCGTGGTGGTTAAGGATGTTGGACTACCACTTGGCACGGTTTGAGTATCAGACCTGGTGGCTTTCTCTCTCTCTCTCTCTCTTATTCTGTCCCTTTCTGCTCAAATTTAAATAAATAAATAAAGTTAAAATAATTGTTTTTTTTTTTTTTAAAGAAGGGATTACATTGTGGCTTGGGAGTACTCTCTCGCTTTCTCCCTCTGACTCTCTGACACTCTCTCTCTGTCTCTCTCTGGTAAATGTATGTAACCTATTGCAAATTAAAACAAGCAAACAAATAAAAACTGTTGGCTAATGTTGCTATTGCTACTATCTGGCTCTTGGTGAGACAATGTGACCCTTCCTCCAGGAAGCCTTCCTTAACCTCTGAGGCTGGGTTGCTGCTGACAGCACTGCATTGTGCTGTGTCTCTCCTGTGTCCCAGAAACCTTTTCCCCAGGCTCCTCCTCTTTCTGTTCTGGTTTCAGAGTGGCACGGGCCTGTGCTTGTTCTGCTTTGGAAGGTGCTTGCGCGGGGTCCTGAGTGTAGGCGGGCTGTGCAGCTGAATCACTTCAGAGGCTGGCCTGGCCATAGAAGTGCTCAGCTCCCATTCCCAAGCAATTGTGATTCCTTCTAACTGCCCAAGGGCACGTGGATTTGGGATTTGCCAAAAGAGACAGACAGAAAGAAAAGGAGAGAGCCAGGGTGTCCCGATGGGGTGTGGTTGTCCAGCAGTCCCTTCTCCTCCATCTCCCCACCCTGTTGGGATTTGGGACATGCATGCATATGCACCCAGTGTGTTTTTCTCTTCTTTTTAAAGAATTGTTCACCTAATTCTATTTATTATCATTATTCTCTCTCTCTCTCTCTTTTTTTTTTAAGTTTGCTATAGGACACATGGGCTCACGAGAGAGAGAGAGAGACAGCGAGCGAGCGAGAGAGAGAGAGAAAGAGAGAGAGAGAGCGCGCAAGCCATCGGGTCCAGGACCCGAACTGCAGTCGGCTATGTGGTAGTCCACCACTTCAACCACCATGCCACCTGCTGGGCCCAACCCAGTGTGTTTTTCAAACTGCTGGGGTCAGGATAGGAACCGCAGTTGCCCATGTGGGATCTGGCTTCCTTACCCACTGGGCAATGGGGCCAGCCCAACAGTTGCCACCACTGGAGGACAAGACTTCCTGGTCAGCCAGCTGGGGAAGGCAGGGGAGCTGCGCGTGCGTGTGCTGCGGTCGCTCTGCAGCGGGCATGGGCTCCTGGCGGAGGAGGGCGCGTCTCCTGAGCTCACACGGGTTTTCTGGGGTGTTTAGCGGTTCCTGATGTCCACCAAGTACAACAAGGACTCCAAGATGTACCGCGCCCTGCAGACTGTGTTCGGGGAGAGGTAGGCACCCGGGCTGGGCGGGCTGTGGGCGGAGGGCCTGCGGGGTCCGGTCCTGGCCCCCGGCACCCGGCGGGCGGGCGCCCCGCACAGCAGCCTGGCTGCCATCGCTGGCACGTTCCTCCTCTTCCCTCTCTGGGTGGCTGGTGGGACTGCGGGGCCGCAGCGGTTGGGCCCAGTCTCCCGTTCTGGTTTAGTTGCTATTTACTGCGGTGAGGCTGGCAAACCCAGCATTCGCCATTGCAGCCACCTCGGCGTGTGCAGCCCCGCAGCGTGAATGCGCACATGACGTGCAAGGACCCGCGCTCTAGGTCCACCACCCCAAAGGCCACCCCGGCCCTCGGCCCTCGAGCAGGTACCCCGTCCCCTTTCTCACACCAAGCTTTGCCTCCCGCAGACTCTTCGGCCAAGGCTTGGTGTCCGAGTGCGACTACGAGCGCTGGCACAAACAGCGGAGGGTCATGGACCTGGCCTTCAGCCGGAGGTGAGGCTGCTCACAGGAGGGCCATGGGAGTGGGGTGGAGCGGGTTGTCCCCTCCCGGGCTGAAGGGACAGAGGAAAGAGGGCGTTGTTGAAAGGGCCGGAGTATGCAGCTGGCCCGCGGTGGGGACTGGGCAGCGCGAGCCTGAGGGTGCCAGGGCTGGCGCAGGAGTTGGATGGGCAATGGAGAGCTGGGTTTCTTTCCTAACTAGAAAGTTACTCTTGGGCCTGCTGGGCGGTGTGATGTTAACACAGCTGGATTCCACATGGCCAACTGCCAGGTTCGAGTTCTGGACCTGGCAGCTTGAAAAACATGCCAGGTTCATGTGTGTGTGCCTAAAAGCCTGAGAGGAGAATGGAGGAGAAGGGACTGTGGCATGGCCATCCCCCCTGGGGGTGCTTGCTACTCCCCCTCCCTCTCTTTTGTGAGAACACACATCCTGTAACGAATTAAAATTATAAATAAAAAGAAGTTGTTTTTTTCAGTTTCCTTTTCTCATCTTCTCCTTTTAAAAACATTTATTAGGAAATAATATCAATTTCCAAAAGAGTTTCAAGAATAGGAATAAGGGTCCAGTAAGTGGTGAAATAGTGACGTCTCTGGACTCTCACATCATCAACCATCGTTCGAGTCCTGGACCCAACGATTTAAAACTCACGCCAGGCGCATGTGCATGTGTGCCCAAAATCCCAAGAGGAGAATGGAGGAGAAGGGATTGTAGGGTGGCCATTCCCCGGGGATGATTTCTTGCTTTCTGTCTCTCTGTCTCTGTCTCTCCAACGAATGCATGCACCCTATAGCAAAAATCTCTCTTAAAGAAAAAAAATAATAATAATAAGACAAAGAATACCCTCTACCCTTTATTCAGGTTAACACCAAAAATTCTTTCAATGGTGAAAGTGGCATTTTCTCTTAGGAAAAACCCAGAAATATAAACAGTGCAGTGGGAGTTCCCCGCCCCCAGGGCAGGGAGTGCTGCGGTGGGAGCCCTGGGCTGCTCGGCACTGTGGGCTCACTTCCTCCTGGAGTTGGGCCCTGCATGTCCTCGAGGACGGGAGTGAAATGCTGCAGGTGGTGGCCCAGGACAGGGTAGGCAGAGAGAGTGGCGGGGAACTGGGGGGCCCTATCATGAACTCTGGGAGGCCCCAGAATCTCTCCACCGCTTTGTCCTTTTTTTTTAAAAGAGATTTTTGCTATAGGGCACATTTGTTCACTGGAGAGACAGAGAGAGACAGAGACAGAAAGCGAAAAATTACCCTGGCTGCTCACAGGAGGGCCATGGGAGTGGGGTGGAGCGGGTTGTCCCCTCCCGGGCTGAAGGGACAGAGGAAAGAGGGCGTTGTTGAAAGGGCCGGAGTATGCAGCTGGCCCGCGGTGGGGACTGGGCAGCGCGAGCCTGAGGGTGCCAGGGCTGGCGCAGGAGTTGGATGGGCAATGGAGAGCTGGGTTTCTTTCCTAACTAGAAAGTTACTCTTGGGCCTGCTGGGCGGTGTGATGTTAACACAGCTGGATTCCACATGGCCAACTGCCAGGTTCGAGTTCTGGACCTGGCAGCTTGAAAAACATGCCAGGTTCATGTGTGTGTGCCTAAAAGCCTGAGAGGAGAATGGAGGAGAAGGGACTGTGGCATGGCCATCCCCCCTGGGGGTGCTTGCTACTCCCCCTCCCTCTCTTTTGTGAGAACACACATCCTGTAACGAATTAAAATTATAAATAAAAAGAAGTTGTTTTTTTCAGTTTCCTTTTCTCATCTTCTCCTTTTAAAAACATTTATTAGGAAATAATATCAATTTCCAAAAGAGTTTCAAGAATAGGAATAAGGGTCCAGTAAGTGGTGAAATAGTGACGTCTCTGGACTCTCACATCATCAACCATCGTTCGAGTCCTGGACCCAACGATTTAAAACTCACGCCAGGCGCATGTGCATGTGTGCCCAAAATCCCAAGAGGAGAATGGAGGAGAAAGGATTGTAGGGTGGTCATTCCCCGGGGATGATTTCTTGCTTTCTGTCTCTCTGTCTCTGTCTCTCCAACGAATGCATGCACCCTATAGCAAAAATCTCTCTTAAAGAAAAAAAATAATAATAATAAGACAAAGAATACCCTCTACCCTTTATTCAGGTTAACACCAAAAATTCTTTCAATGGTGAAAGTGGCATTTTCTCTTAGGAAAAACCCAGAAATATAAACAGTGCAGTGGGAGTTCCCCGCCCCCAGGGCAGGGAGTGCTGCGGTGGGAGCCCTGGGCTGCTCGGCACTGTGGGCTCACTTCCTCCTGGAGTTGGGCCCTGCATGTCCTCGAGGACGGGAGTGAAATGCTGCAGGTGGTGGCCCAGGACAGGGTAGGCAGAGAGAGTGGCGGGGAACTGGGGGGCCCTATCATGAACTCTGGGAGGCCCCAGAATCTCTCCACCGCTTTGTCCTTTTTTTTTAAAAGAGATTTTTGCTATAGGGCACATTTGTTCACTGGAGAGACAGAGATGGCTGCTCACAGGAGGGCCATGGGAGTGGGGTGGAGCGGGTTGTCCCCTCCCGGGCTGAAGGGACAGAGGAAAGAGGGCGTTGTTGAAAGGGCCGGAGTATGCAGCTGGCCCGCGGTGGGGACTGGGCAGCGCGAGCCTGAGGGTGCCAGGGCTGGCGCAGGAGTTGGATGGGCAATGGAGAGCTGGGTTTCTTTCCTAACTAGAAAGTTACTCTTGGGCCTGCTGGGCGGTGTGATGTTAACACAGCTGGATTCCACATGGCCAACTGCCAGGTTCGAGTTCTGGACCTGGCAGCTTGAAAAACATGCCAGGTTCATGTGTGTGTGCCTAAAAGCCTGAGAGGAGAATGGAGGAGAAGGGACTGTGGCATGGCCATCCCCCCTGGGGGTGCTTGCTACTCCCCCTCCCTCTCTTTTGTGAGAACACACATCCTGTAACGAATTAAAATTATAAATAAAAAGAAGTTGTTTTTTTCAGTTTCCTTTTCTCATCTTCTCCTTTTAAAAACATTTATTAGGAAATAATATCAATTTCCAAAAGAGTTTCAAGAATAGGAATAAGGGTCCAGTAAGTGGTGAAATAGTGACGTCTCTGGACTCTCACATCATCAACCATCGTTCGAGTCCTGGACCCAACGATTTAAAACTCACGCCAGGCGCATGTGCGTGTGTGCCCAAAATCCCAAGAGGAGAATGGAGGAGAAGGGATTGTAGGGTGGCCATTCCCCGGGGATGATTTCTTGCTTTCTGTCTCTCTGTCTCTGTCTCTCCAACGAATGCATGCACCCTATAGCAAAAATCTCTCTTAAAGAAAAAAAATAATAATAATAAGACAAAGAATACCCTCTACCCTTTATTCAGGTTAACACCAAAAATTCTTTCAATGGTGAAAGTGGCATTTTCTCTTAGGAAAAACCCAGAAATATAAACAGTGCAGTGGGAGTTCCCCGCCCCCAGGGCAGGGAGTGCTGCGGTGGGAGCCCTGGGCTGCTCGGCACTGTGGGCTCACTTCCTCCTGGAGTTGGGCCCTGCATGTCCTCGAGGACGGGAGTGAAATGCTGCAGGTGGTGGCCCAGGACAGGGTAGGCAGAGAGAGTGGCGGGGAACTGGGGGGCCCTATCATGAACTCTGGGAGGCCCCAGAATCTCTCCACCGCTTTGTCCTTTTTTTTTAAAAGAGATTTTTGCTATAGGGCACATTTGTTCACTGGAGAGACAGAGAGAGACAGAGACAGAAAGCGAAAAATTACCCCCATGGGGATGGCCACGCTGCAGTCCCTTCTCCTCCGTTCCCCTCTCAGGATCCTGGGCACACACGCACATGCACCAGGCGTGAGCTTTAAGCTGCCAGGTCTGGGACACGAACCATGGTTGACTATGTGGGAGTCCAGTGACGTAATCATTATGCCATCTGCTGGTCCCTGCCTCAGCCCTTTGAGGTCAGAGTTGGGAGCCCACGCTGGCAGACAGAAGACCTGTGGGACCACGGGGACAAGGGTGAGGGACTGTGTCCATCCTTGGAGGACTGTGAGGCCCAGGGCTTAGCCCAGCTAGAACAATCCTGACCTCAAAGTGGGGGGGCAGAAAAGCCGGGAGAGGCCCCACTTTCTGCACAACATCTGCCCTGCAGAGAGGGAGGGCCCCGACGGGGTGCTGGCGCTGTTTCCGCAGCTCCTTGGTCAGCTTGATGGAAACGTTCAATGAGAAGGCTGAGCAGCTGGTGGAGATTCTAGAAGCCAAGGCGGACGGGCAGACGCCGGTGTCCATGCAGGACATGCTGACCTGCACCGCCATGGACATCCTGGCCAAGGTGAGGGCAGCGCGGTCAGGGGCCGGGCCCTGGGCTGAGGGTCCTTGTCCCCTCCCCCTGCCCTTGCTCTCCTCCCCCCTCCCCTGCCTCCCAGACCAGCAGCCCCTCCCGTGCTTCACTTACTCTTCCCACATTCTGTCTCCTGCATATTCAGAACAGCCTCGCATGAGACTGGTCTAGGTCACTCTCAATATGGGTGCCAAGGGGGGCAGGCCAGGCCTATTGCTGGTCAGGGGCTGGAGCAGGGTCTGATCCCGGGTCTGCATGGCTCTAGCTCAAAGCCTCAGTCCCCCTCGGCACCCCCTGAGACTCAGCAGTGGCCCAGGTCACCCCGAAGCCTGTGTAAGGCTGATTGGGTGGCTGGAGCGTGGGGCCGTGTAGAGCCCTTATTCAGGGGCTGCAGAGCCAGCGCGCCGTGCGGCGGGCCGAGGGTGCCGGAGGAAGTTTGCATCTTGGGAAGTCCATCTCGCCAGGGAAGGACGTCGACGTTCACTGAGCAGCTCCCCTGCCCCATAACCCTCACGGTGTCCTCGGGACTCGCCGCACCATAGACCCTCAGCCCAGAGCCAGGCCTCAGCTGAGCACTGCCAGGGTTGTCACCTCCAGCACCCAGGAATGGCCTCCCCTCCTCCCCCAGGCAGCCTTCGGGATGGAGACCAGCATGCTGCTGGGTGCCCAGAAGCCTCTGTCGCACGCCGTGAAGCTCATGTTGGAGGGCATCACCGCGTCCCGCAACACCCTGGCAAAGGTACTGCCTCGGCGCCCTCCGGGGCCGGCCCCTCCTGGGTCACCTCCGCTGCTGAAGCACGTCCTTCAGTGGTTTTTCAGGATGGGTTTGAGCTCTGGTATGTATGAAACACCGGAGTCAGGATGGCCCGCACAGCCTTCCTCATGTAAAACAGTCCTCGGTGCCAGCAGTCGAGGGTGGGTGTGGTGGCTCCACAGTGTCAGCTACCCCCATGTCTCTCTCTCCTTTATGCTGTCCTTACCACATCACCTCCTGTCATAAGATGGCTGCTGCAGATCCAGCTATCACCTTTTTGTTCCGGGCATGCAAGGGAAAGGTGTTACCTGAGTTGATCCTTAGGGCCTCTTCCTATTCCCTGAGACTTCGGCCTCTGACCTCATGGCCCCCAGTGGACCCCATCTTTTTGATGATTGACTCTGCTTCACTTCCCACTGGCTGTGATTTCCCCCCTTGATGCAGTCTTTTTTTGGTGGGAAGAGAGATTTTTGCTATAGGGTGTGTGCACTCACCAGAGAGACAGAAAGACAAAAAGTGAGAACTCACCTCCTGGCGGGGTGGGGGTGGCCTTGAGACAATCCTTCCTCCATTCTCTTGGGATTTGGGGCACACACACACACACACACACACATGCCCAGCATGAGTTTCAAGCTGCCGTGTCCAGGCCTCAAACTGCGGCCACCCACGTGGGAGTCCAGCACCTTAACCACTGTGTCACCTGCTGGCCTGTTGATGCAGTCTGAACTCCCTCTTGTTTCCCCGTGCTGTGGGGGTGCTCTGAGGCGTCTTTCCGGTGATTCCCGAGGATCTGGTGCAGGAAGGGGAGGCCACCTTGGCCTGGTCTCCTGGCCGCTTTCCCTGCTCTGCAGTTCTGCACTCTTCCGACCTCCAGCTTGTGTGCTGTGATCTCTGGTCACTGGGCATGGTGGCGGGGAGGGCGACCTGGTGCATAGCCGTCAGCCCGTGCTCACTGGAGGCGCCCTCGCTTAGTTCATGCCCGGGAGCAGGAAGCAGCTGCGGGAGATCCGGGAGAGCATCCGCTTCCTGCGCCGGGTGGGCAAGGACTGGGTGCAGCGCCGGCGGGAGGCCCTGCAGCGGGGTGAGGACGTGCCCCCTGACATCCTCACGCAGATCCTCAAAGGTACCAGGACTCCCTGGGGGCCGGGACGCCGGGGGGAGGGGGGCTCCCGTGGGGAGGCTGGTCACTGTCACCGCGCGTGTCCCCATCTGGCCAGGAGGAGGAAGTCGGGGCTGGGAGCTGAGCGCTCTTGTCTTTCAGCTGAGGAGGGCGCCCAGGACGACGAGGTTCTGCTGGACAACTTTGTCACCTTCTTCATCGCTGGTTTGTAGCCTCGGCGGCCACCAGGGGCACTAAGCTTTATGGGAATGATGGGAACACTGGTCCCGGGCCCTGACTCTGAGCGGAAGCCCCTAACTGCTGCCTTGGTGGCCTGACCTGCCGGGGGAGCTGGTTTCTTTGGTGGTGTGAACCATGGCTCCCCTCGCTCAGGACTTGTGGGCAGCCGCCCTTAGCCTGGCACGAGCAGACGTGCTGAGCACCTCTGCTCGTGGGCCCCCAGATGCCTCCTCCTCAGGGAAGCCCTCAGTGATTGCCCAGACCACATCAGGCCCCAGCTAGAAGCTGGCCCTGGTGCCCAGAGCTTCTCTGTGCCCACACGTCTCACGGCGTGGTTAGAAATGTATTTGTGGTGATTCGATGAGGTCCGTCTCCCCACCAGACGGCGTGCCTGGTGAGTGAGGCACTAGGACATTTGTTCACCCGTGGGTTCCCAGGCCCAGTGCAGTTGGTGCCTGTGAGGCCCAGGTGAAATGAGCGAGCAGGAGAGTGAGCTCCAGCCCTGGGTGCAGAGGTGAGCGGAGGCGGGGCGGTCCCCAGTGGCGGTGGACAGACAGACAGACAGGCGCGCTGAGGTACAGAAGGGCCTGGGGTACAGAAGGGCCCTCTAGGTGGAGAGAAGACCTCACACCTCACACCTGCGAGGACTCTGAGAAATGGCCCATGCTGAAGCAGGACTGCGGATGCTGTTCCTGGCTCAGGGGAGACGCCTGTCTGAAAGGCGGGCCTTCCTTCCTGCAGCCAGGGCCGGAAGCTGCTCCCCATGGGCCTGGCCTCAGTCTCCTCATCTGTAAAATGGTGGGCTTATGATCCACGAGCTCTCCGACCTTCTGTCCAGCCCTCAGGATTTAGTGGTCCCCCGTGTCCATGCACCCATCCCCAACTCTGCGTCCAGATGCGCAGGGCACCGAGGGGCAGGTTCTGTCCCCTCCCATTGCCTGGAGGGAAACAGAGGCCCAAGAGGGCAGTGGCCCCACACTGCAGCCGCCATGCAGAGGCAGTCTGGCTGCTTCTGTCCCCACCTCCCACACCCAGCACGTCTGCTGCTGGCCCGCCTGCTGGGGGGGTGCCTGGGAGCCCAGCCCTGTTCAGGGTAGTAGTGAATTCCTGCCACCCAGACTGTGTGCTCCAGGCCAGCAGGTCCTGCCAGAACGCACAGCCTCCTAAAACCTTCCGCACCCTGTCAGCAGAGGAGCCATCCCCAGTCCTTGCAGCGGAGGCGGTGGTGGGGTGTGGAGGTGGGCCTCGCAGCCTGGGAGGGACTGGGTCCCGAACTTAAGAAATAGGCTGAGTCCACGTTCTGCTCTCCCCGCTCGTGACCTCTCGGCCTCAGCTTTCTCCTCTGTGAGACGGAGGTGAGCACCCCTCCAGGCCAGGCCAGCTTGGAGCATGGCTAGAGGAGGGCCTTTACGAGAGTGGAAGCAGCACAGGGCACAGGGCCGACACCAGGTACCCTCCTGCATCGGCTGTCATGGGGGATACCGCGGACAGGGTGTCTCCTCATAGCTCAGCCATCGGGGGCAGGTCGGGGACTGAACCACAGGGTCCCAGGGAGCAGCCACCCTCCTCCTTTCCCGCAGGCCACGAGACCTCCGCCAACCACTTGGCGTTCACAGTGATGGAGCTGTCTCGCCAGCCGGAGATCGTGGCGAGGTATGGGGCTGCCCTCGGGGCGGAGGGGTGACCTGATGTCTTCGCCCCCCTTCCATGGCCGAGCCCTCTCCCGGCCTCCCTGCTTCCTTGCCCCAGCTCATGCGATGTCCTTCTCTGGAAGCTTTTCTCCAGGCCAGTGTTCCTCTCCTCCATCCCCTCCTCCTGTCCCCCTCCTCTAGAAGAGCCTCTCGAAGCCCTAAGGTAGCCCCCTGTCCCCCTCCTGATCTCCCAGCTCTTGAAGGGCTCCCTGGGCCTATTAGCCTTGAGTCTCTGAGCCCTGAGGCCAGCACCCCTGGGAGGCAGGGACCCTGGCTCTTTCCAAAAACTTTCCCTCCCACACGGTGCCCAGTCCCTGGCAGGGGTGGGCAGTGGGGGAAAGAATCCCAACTCAGGCACTGAGGAGCACGGGCCTTCAGGGGGGGAGATGGCACCCCCAAGCCCTTGGCGGTCCCATTACAGACTCCCTGGAGGACTGGCGTGTAGACGGTGAACGGGCGAGGTGGGGGGCTCTGGGGCCGTGGGGAAAGGCCCTGGGTGCAGCTGTCCAGTCGCTGCAGGGCAGAGGGCAGATGTGAGGACGTGGAACCCGTATTAGGCTTACATAGGAGGGGACTTCAAGAAGTTGTGGGGAAATGGAATTAAAGTGTGAATTTCTTTGGATGTAAACAATTTTACTCTGTATGGAGAAAATTCAAAAACTTCATGGAAAATGCGTATTATGACAAAACTATGCATAGTTTTTACATTTCTCTTTCAATAGAGCCCCTCCCCTTTTTATTAACTTGCCTGAGGGTACGTGTACTCACTACCGAGAGAGAGAAAAGCGAGCTAGCACCCCCCGGTAGGCATGGTCACGCTGCCATCCCATCGGCAGCTCCTCTCCTTTCGGGGAGCTTCCTGTTTCTCAAGTTGCCAGTCCAGGATTTGAACTGCAGGGCTGGCCATGTGAGAACCAGCTGCCTTAGCTACCATGCCACGGTCTGGCTCGAATAAAGAAACTGAAAAAGCGCAAAGTTTTACAGAGGCACTATTGGGCCAGCCTGTGGCATGGTGGTTAAGGTGTCTGGATCCCATGTGGCCAGCCCCACGGTTTGAGTCCCGGACCCAGCAGCTTGAGAAGTGTTGAGTGAATGTGCCCAAAATCTTGAAAGGAGGGCGAGAGGGAGGAAAGGGATAGTGGCCGGATGATGACCCATGGGGTGTGCTTTCTCGCTTTCCCGCTACCCACAACCTGTCTCTGTCTCTTCCTGGTGACTGGTACATTTTTAAAAAGAATTTATTCCTTTCCTGAGAGAGTCATACAGAGAGACAGAGAAACAGCACCCCACAGGGCCTTATGCCACTGTCCAGGGTCAGCTTCAGTCTGCCTGGGTCACGGGCACACATGTGTACTCAGGCAGGTCCCCAGGCGTGGCCCTGCAGGGGGCCACTCTTCACCGCTGTGCCACCACGGGCCTCCAAGGCTTCAAGGCTTTCTGCGCCAGAATGCCCTATCCTTTAATTCACTGCCACCACACTTTTTGAAGTCCCATTGCAGGTACTTTATGTTTCCATAAATCTTGGGGGCTGGCAGGTGGTGTGGTGGTTAAGGCAGCTTGACTCCCACATGGCTGACCGTAGTTCGAGTCCCGGACCTGGCAGCTAGTTTTCTCACTTTCCTTCTCTCTTGCTATCTCTCTCTGGTCCACTTCAAAAAAAATCTGGAAAAAGCAAAAGTTAAGATAATAACAACTACCCATGGCACTCCACCCGCCTGGAGGCAGCTCACTACGGATTCCCAAGCACCCATGCAGCACCCCCAGTCTGCACCCCCTGTGCAGTTTCCATCCCCTTGTCTAGCTGATTTACCTCTCCGCCAAGTTGATCACAGCGTGGTGTTACTGTAGCCGCTTCTGGACCCACTCTGCTCTTTACGGCAGTGAGATACACATAGCATAGGGCAGCCAGGGGTGCAGAGATCAAGGCGGCTGGAATCGCAGGGCTGTGCTTCAAGTCCAGGACACAGCAGCTTAAAAACACGCCAGGTGCGTGTGCATGTGTGCCCCAAGTCCTGAGAAGAGAGTGTGGGTGGCCAGCCCCGCTAGGGGTGATTTCTCACTTTCCCTGCCCGTTTCCATCTCTCTGGTGACTGCACAGGCCCTACAACAAATTTTATATATATACATATGTATGTATATGTTATATAAAATATATACTTATACGTGAAAATATATTTTATATACAAATAAATATATTTTTATAAAAATATGTTTTATATAGAAACTAGCAGATACGTGCTCAAGATCCCGAGAGGAGAATGGACGAGAAGGGACCCCTGGGGGGTGATTTCTCGCTTTCTGTCTCTCTGTCTCTCTCTGTCTTTCTGGTGAGCGCACGTGCCCTATAGCAAAAACCTCTCCAAAAAAAAAAATATATATATATTTATATATTTACATATATATGTGCATTTACATATATAATACATATTATATTTTATAAAATATACACACACAAACATATATAAAATACACACGTGCATACCTTTACACATACATGTGTAAATATAACAGAGTTTAACATTTTAATTATTGGGGTTGCCCAGCCACCCCCACGTCCATCTCCAGAGCGGTTTGTCTCCCTGACTGAAGCTCCGTGCTCATAGACGTCCACCCCCCCAGCCCCAGCCCCGGCCCCGGTAGCCGCCACTCCACCATGTCTCCAGGCATTGGTCCGCCCTAAGGACTAACGAAGGTGGGATTGTCGGTGTCTGTCCCTTTGAGACCGGCTTGTTTCCCTCACGTAACGTGCTCAAGGCTCACTCACGTGGGAGCCCACCTCGCAACGTCCCTCTTTTTACGGCTGGGGGGGGGGCCCCCGCGGGCGCCCCCCACCCCGGC